CTTTGTGGGGGGCCGGGGTTCTTTTTTTTTTTTTTTTATATAAGTACCATGGCCCAGGTGCCAGCTCCCAGCTGCCATGTCATGGTTACCCAGCTGTTCCTGGGGTGGGGCAGCTGGGGCTGTGACTACATAGCTCTGCTGAGGAGGTGAGTGGGACTGAAATTTTTGGTGTGTACCTTAGAGGGAACCTTGGTCCTCACCAGTTTAAATCCCCTCCCACGTTCCTTCCAGATCACTTTGTTGTATATGTGGAAGATGTAAACTTGACCAAGCTCTTTACTTTTTTAATGCAGTGGAGTGAATTTATGAGCCTTGGCCGTGACATTCCAGATTCCCAGCTTGATACAATTATTGATTCCCAGAAGCCTAATCAATGCTGTACACTGATATATACCTCAGGAACAACTGGACAGCCAAAGGGAGTTATGCTCAGTCATGATAATGTAAGTATTCTTGCCTACAAGTAATAAAAATAAAAAGCCAAACTGCAATGGGACTTCAGATTTCTCTGGGATGCACTATTTTAAGTAGTGTTGAGACTAGAAGAATGGGTCTAGCCAAAATATTTCAACTAAATGAAATTTTTTTCGAACTTTGGAATGGTTTCCTATTCAAGACTCTTTTTGGTTTTTTGTTTTTGTTTGTTTAAGCAGTATTTGGCAAAATCATTAACATTTGCCTCACTCTGACCAGAAGTAATGTCCCACAAGTAATGTTTTTTCTAATCTCTTCCATCCATGTGAAGAATAAATTGTGCCCCAGAGCATGTGCAAATGTGCACAACCATAAACAAAACCTAGCTATGGGAGCTCTAGTAATCAGTTGGGTGGCATTTGAATCTCTTGAGCGGCTGCACAAGTGCATAGCTTATTTGTGGGAGTACTCCCTGTAAATCCAAAGCACCCACAGTTTGGTCAAAGCTATCTAGGAAAAGAAGTATTAAATTTATTGTCAAAATTAGAGATCATCACTTTGTACATAGTGACAGACTAACTTCAAGGCCAGTGCTCTCCCATAAGCAGATCAGGGCACTGAAACTGCTGCTAGGTTTCTTGTGAATTTGGGCCCTACCGCAGCATTTCTCAAACTGGGGGTCTTGACCCTGGTGGGTCGCAAGCAACTTAGAAGGGGGTTGAAGCTGGATTTGGCTTTTCACTTGTGACCCCTCTTCCCTGGGCTGCAAAGAGTGGCTGGGTGGGGGAAGGCAGCTGCCAGCAGGACTCCTAAGAGCGTGGCTCAGCTGCAGGAGGAGGCAAGGTGTCTGGGAGAGGGAGGCCGGCTTGCCAGGTGACCCAACACTTCCCCAGCTGGGAGAGGGCAGGGTCCCTCAGGCAGCGGGCTGGGGGATTGGGTTGGGGCAGTGGGCCTGGCGGTAAATAAGGGCACGTCAGAGGAGAAGGCTCGGGGGAGGACGGGGGGACCAAAGGGACACAGCAGAAGGGGGAGGGGGAGAGGTGGGGGGGGGGGGGTCCCTCCCCAGGGGGAAGGGCGTTGAGGACTGCAAATGCCTTGAAGGAACTGCAGGAGGGCAAGCAGTCTGAGAAGTGGGGAAGAAGTGACCCAGGGCTGGGAGGGGAAGGGTCTCACAAACTCATTTAGTATTTTAGGGGGTCATTGTATCAGTTTGAGAACCCCTGCCCTACTGGGGGGAGAGGTGGGGGGGGGGGGGTCCCTCCCCAGGGGGAAGGGCGTTGAGGACTGCAAATGCCTTGAAGGAACTGCAGGAGGGCAAGCAGTCTGAGAAGTGGGGAAGAAGTGACCCAGGGCTGGGAGGGGAAGGGTCTCACAAACTCATTTAGTATTTTAGGGGGTCATTGTATCAGTTTGAGAACCCCTGCCCTACTGTGTGTTGTTGGTTCTAATAATTAGCTCTTAGCTCTCCATTAGATGTCAAAGCAATTGCCACGATCAGTATAATTTCCTGCCCTTCCCATCTATAGAATGGAGGAAGAAAGACCAACCCTGGCTGTTTAATGAAATTAGACTAAAACCCTCAAGTTCCATGAAGTGGGATGTCAGTGCCACTAATCCATCACCTCTATGCAGAGGCAGTCATGGAGAGGAATGTCTGGAAATAGCTTTGCATAGCTTGTTTCCCTAGCATCATGCTGTTTAACACATCTTATGAGGACTGAGACTACTCTACCAGCAAAGATGTTAAAACATTTGAGATGCTTCTAGGCATACTCTTTGTTCAGCTAGTTAATCTGTTGGCCTCTAAAAAGCAGAACGCTGCAAATCAGCAGCTTTTCCTAATATGTGAGGAAGAAGTATGGGTCAGGCCAAAACCAATGCTTTAGCCAAACTCCAAAAGCAGTGGACAGGCTGGGTTTGTGGTTGACTCAATCTTCTGCAAACTCATGCAACTTAAGCTCTAAGGGTACAAAGTCTGGGACTGTAGCAATCTCCCAGATAGTTACTTTAGGCCAGTGTTTCTTAAAGTGGCCCATGGATCCATTCTGAGAGCTCCTACCAGGCCACTGTGGTTCTTACCAGCTCTGCAGCCAATGGTAGCAGTGAGGCTCTGCAGCTGTGGAGCCTGTAAATAAATGCACCAGAACAGCCTGGTGGTAGCTCTCGCTGGATCTGTGGGCCACTTTGAGAAATGCCACTAATACAAAACAGATGCCATGGTAGGTCTAATT